TAACCCCCCCCCCCCCCCCCCCCCCCCCCCCCCCCCCCCCCCCCCCCCCCCCCCCCCCCCCCCCCCCCCCCCCCCCCCCCACCCCCCCCCGCCCCCCCCCACCCCCCCCCGCCATCCGCCCCCCACCTACCACCACCCGCCACCATCACCACCACCACCCACTCGTTACCACTCACCACCCGGCGCCGTCACCCACCCACTCACCTACCCACCATTACCACCCGCCACCACCTACCACTACCCACCACCGTCACCCACTCATCCACTCACCACCACCACCAGCCACCTACCCGCCACCACCACCCGTCGCCGCCGCCACCACCACCGCCACCACCACCACCCACCACCACCAGCTACCCACCACCCACCATCACCACTTTCCACCACCGTCTTCCGCAGCCACTTGTCACCACTCGCCATTTCTCACTCTTTCTTATATTTTAAATTTTTTTTAAACATTTTGTCAATTACCAAACGCGTTTGTAGTTTATGTTTTTCTAAAAATAAACAAAAACTAATTTAAAAAATTTTTGTAAATATAAACTGAAAACGTAAACGTTACCAAACACACCCATATAGCTTGATCTTGCTTTTAAAAGCTCTTCACCAAGCTCTGATACCACTTACAACAACAAAAAAGGAAAGGAGCTTTTTTACTATTTTTATTATGGAGTTATGGAGTATAGAATTGTGGTGGAGAAATTAGAGAAATTGGAAGCACAAAGATGGAGAATTTACATTGCTTTCTTCATTGGCTTGAATGCCAATTTATAGAATGCATATTGTATATACAAACAAAAATCAAAAGTTATTGCATATTTATCTTACGTCCAACTTCTACAGCTTTTGACAAAACTTTACAACTTTTTTTTGACAAAGTCTACAAGCCTAGGCATAGGCTTATACAACATTTTCACAAAATTAAATACAAAGACAAAAAAAAGTCATAAATGAGATACTACAATTATTTGTCATCTTTATACGACAATTATATACATACACTGTCTACCCTCCCCAGTTTTCAATGAGATAGACTGTTATATATAAGCTTTGGCTGAGCTGATTTGTCGTGTAGCATCGGCTAAAAGGATATGGCTGATCACTTTCTGCCTAATAATGCAGGTTGCTCCACGTATCCTAGATAAGGTTGGAGTCGATCAGGAGACAACTGCATTTGATAGTGGGGTCCACTATGCTTCCATCCTATTGATGAGATTGTGATATTCTTCATCAGTCTCTAATGGAGGGGAATCCGGATCCTGGGTGTATTGCTCATTCCGGAAATATTTTACATCATCCGCTATCATGGCTAGTTTCAACGGAAGATCCAAATTATTTTTCTTTTTGAGATTTATTAACATGTCAAAAGCCTCATTAATTTGTGTAAGAGACGTTTGATATGTTATGGGAAAATGGGTTACATGAATGGCAATTTTGCTGAGCCATATATGTTGGACGCTGATGATTATTTAGATAAAGGTCACCGGAGAGAACGATTGGAAAATATCCAAAAATTTTCTTTCACAGAATATTGGATAGACAGTCTGATATCTGTTTCATAAGCAGCGTCCAACATCTATTGCTCAGCAAAATTGCCATTCATGTAACCCATTTTCCATAACATATCAAAGGTCTCCACACAAATTAATGAGGCTCTTGACATGTTAATAAATCTCAAAAAGAGAAATAATTTGGATCTTCCGTTGGAACTAGCCATGACAACGGATGATATAGAACATTTCCGGAATGAGCAATACAGTCAGGATCCGGATTCCCCTCCATCAGAGACTAGCAATTTTCTTGCAGATTTTCTTAGCAGAAATTGTTTCAGAAAGTTAAATTGCTAAACAAGTAAATTTAATTTTTACAAAAGAAAATCAACAGAAACTCTATCAAACCAAACTACACGAAAGACATAGCAATCAACCCTCAAATGTGAGGACCAAGGTAAGAGACCACCACAACATCAGAAAATAAAAAAACAAAACTAACCCCATCGCCAAAACACAACTGCAAGCAGACCAACCAAAGCAAAAAAATACTAACGAAGGATTGGAGAAGAAAGTCAAAACAGAGACAAAGAAGAAACAAACGGTTGGTGCAAATTCTCCGGGATGATAATGTCTTTGTCAAACTTAAAAACATAACCAACTCATTATCACAACAAAACAATACCCTTGGTAAACCAACAGAAATTTTATTGAACAGAGCAATCAACCCTCATCAGCAACCCCTACGAGGTTCTTTTTCAGTCCTTCCTCTGCCCAAATCTGCAATAATTCTCGCTCCAAAACATCAACAATAAACAAGGATCAGAACCCTCATCGTTGCTGAAAACGATATGCCCTCAGCCAATCATACGTGAGGGCCAAGGTGGTGTGAGGGCCAAGGTGAAAGACCAAAACAGCATTAAAAAAATAAAAAAACACCCCAGCCAAAACACACTTACAAGCAAACCAACTGAATAAAAAAAAAACATCGAGGGTTGCAGAAGATGGTCCAAACAGAGATAAAAGAATCAACAAACAACCTAAATGAGCAAACTTCGAGAAGCTCAAAACTAGAAGCAATCAATCAAGAAGACAACTTCTTTAGTAGCTTCAATTATAGCTTGGTGACGCCATCTATAAATTTGACCATATTTGATTTCAAATAATCCACAATTCCAAAGCATGCCTTAACCCAGACAGCATATTGCAATGCCTTGACTCAGAAAGCATATCTCAACCTAATCATTTGCACCAAATCATGCACTTGTTGTATTGAACAATCAAAAATAGCGGTGATGAGAGTTTTCCAAATAGACCAAATTACTGCATAGAAATAGTCATCCAAAATCTTTCTCAAGATCATGGAAAGGGAGATCAAATCACCATGAAATGAAATCAAAAAGCAAAGCAAGGCAAACCCATTGGATATCCAACCAAGCTAGCCCACAATTTCTAAGTAACTTGACAGTGCAAGAATAAGTGGTTCAAAGATTCAAAAAAACTCAGAACACATTAGGAAGTTAGATTCAATATCTCTCCAAAAAAATTCCCCATTAAATTAGGAGTTCTTGAGAAGCTACCTTGCCTTGAATAGCTTTCCAGCAAAACACTGTAGCAATGCAGATAGACTAGTAGGGCATATTATGTTTGTTCAATTGGGAGGATGACTAGCCTCAATTACTTGTTTGGAGGCACTAAAGTAAGACATCAATTCTTGTTAGCAAGCAAGTTCACTGCATATAAGCTCACATGAATATTTATATAGAATTTTCATTTACCCTCAAATACACATTCATTACTATTATTTGTGCACATAATCTTTAAATCTAAAAACATGATCATGTGTGTTTGGTAAGCTCCTACATTGTATTTACATTCTAACCATAAAATATAAATATGTATTGATTGGGTCTAGTGAAATGCAAATGGAGACATGAATGTTCAATAAAAGATCTATCATTCTCAATTAAAAAAAGAATGTACTATATAATCCTGTAGAATATAACTTGAAGAAGATCAGGGCAGAGCCAAAAAAAAAAGAATTTCTAATTTCACCAGCACTAGATGAATGATATCATTAGGAATTTGACAGACTTTCATACCCCTATTAACTATTTCAGAACATTATATGATGAAATGAATAAATTACACTGGGTTCTTGAAGAGCCTACTTTGGAAAACAAGAACTACAGAATATATTTTGAGCTATTCTTCCAGAGGAGGACCCATCCTCATGGGTTTAAAACCACAGACCAATAATGAAAACATCATCACCATGTTTACAACAGAGAATGGACAACCAAAGCAAGAAGTGACAAGAAACAATAATATCAACATCTAGTGCAGTTATACCAGATTTAAAATATTATGCTTCCATATTGTAGGCAATAAGCAATATCATAGCAGCAACAATATAATACTGTGGCACACATCTCAATAAGGTAGTAGTGCAACATATGTATTTCAAACATATCTACACAAGACTACAAACTGCCTTTTTTTATTATTATTATTAAATTTCTACACGGACTAGTTTCTACAGCAGCAATTCAATCAATCTGAAACTTTATCATGCACATGACGGCTGCGAACATGCCGGGCAGAAGAGTAAGCAGAAAGCGCTGGTCCAGTCACAGTAGTGCAACATATGTACTTCAAACATTACGACACAAGACTACAAACTGCCTTTTTTTATTATTATTATTAAATTTCTACACAGACTAGTTTCTACAGCAGCAATTCAATCAATCTGAAACTTTATCATGCTCATGACGGCTGCGAACATGCCGGGCAGAAGAGTAAGCAGAAAGCGCTGATCCAGTCACAGTCAACGAATGCTTCGCGAGCCCCACGCTTTTCTTTGTTGCCAACCACACAGTCCAAAAGAATCCAATCCAACCTGAGACGCGCAAGCATTAAAGAAACAAAATGGTAACATCAGGAGCAAATTCATCATGAAAATTCACGGGGTTCAGCTTATATAAACTTCAATACAAGCCTAGTAATTTTATGGGAGAATACATGGGTTGGTTGAGAAGGTCCAAAAAAGAAACTGGCTCCAGCTTTCTGGTGCACAAAAAATAATATTAAATCTTAACTAGTACAAAATGTACAGTCAAATCTAAAGTACAATAAACATTCATCCCCAAGAACTCTACCAAGCTGAAGTCTGTTGGCTGATCTATCTAGATAGAGCCAAGTGTGCGCACAAACTGCACTGCACAGACACACAGAGATTCAGTCCATAATCACAATTGACAACCAGGTTGGGAGAGGTAAGGGGCATACAAGTTAGTGCTACCTATGCAACAGAGCCAACTATTGGTAATCAGTTACTACATACCTATGAAACATGGGTACTTCGAAAAACATGTCGTACCCATACCGGGTACTTATCGGTGTATGGTACCTCGTATGGTGCTTCTGCATACGTACCGGGTACACGAAACACGTACCGAAGTTTTTTATTTTTAATTTTTGACATACCCAAACGTACCTAATATATATTCAAATTGTACTATACCTCAGTTGAAATAATATTTTCTTCTACTACAGAGATAAAATTTCTTTCAATAGACTTCTTTTTTATTTTTTGTTTTATGCTTAGCATGATTTTAAAATTAAACTATTTTTTGTAAGTTATTTAATATATTGACATTTAATTTTGATTTATACCTATACTTTTGGTATTAAATGTTAATTGTAGGTTGGACTTTAACAAATTAAACCGTTTAATTAATTTTTGCATTACTCTAAATTAAAAAATAAATATTTTTTTACAAGCGTACCATGCCATACTCGTACCTTATTTTTTTTGAATTTTACCATATCGACATACCCGTATCGTACCAGTACCAATACTCGTAAGCGTATCCGTGCTTCATAGCTTACTTACAAGGCAGTTGGGGAAGTTGAGTTGTCTTCTCTTTCCCTACTTAGTGTGGGCTGTGGGAGATGCCCACCCCAATTATTAATTTGGTCGCTAGTTGTTATCAGAGATTCCTTAAAAGTGGGCAGTTTGGAAGGCAGCCTAACCATAAAATGCGGATTGTAATCTTAAATGTACTCTACTGTAAGCTTTCAGGAGATGTTAACCAAAGATTCTTTTTGATGTGTTTCTAATAGATACTAGTCGTCATCCAGTTTACATGGTTTTGAAGGTCTACTCTTGAATCAACAAGATCAAACATGTACAGCCAGGCATAAAAACAAACCACTGGGAAATATCTTAGTAGTTCGTGTAAATGAACCCTCAGTCCTGTGGGAAGTTCACACATCATAATCAGTCACTGTACCAGCCACCGCAGCTGATTTTCATGGACAAAACCATAGGCCATGAAGGTTTCAAACTCAACAATGGTTAACATAGTTCCCTGCACAGCAGTTTTTCCCCTGGCCTATGGGAGTCCACAAATCATAATCAGTCTATAGAGTCCATAAAGGCCTGAATCAAAGCGGTCTCAATTTATTTATGCCAAGCACAATCAACACAATGATTGAAACTTATTAGTGAAACTCATTGAACATCAAAGAATATAACCATGGTGGATCAGGGAAGAAGAAGAATGAATAAAGGAAAAGCAAACAGCTTACTTGTAGCAATCAGAACAGCTATGATTGCTGAAATTGTTGCAGTGGAAATAACAAACACAGCTACTGATAATGCCCCAATGTAAATTGCCGTCACACAGGTAAAGAAAAGAGCCAAGAAGCCCCCTGCCGCAGCTAAAGACACAAGAAGAGAAATTATAATGGCATTGACGGTTGCTGCCAGAAAGAAAAGCATAAAGACTACCAGTCCTGTCAAGGCCAGAAGCCCAATAGTTCCAACCTGAAGCAATTTTAGAAAATAATTCATAAGAAATATAGAAGCAATTAAAGAAAAAAAGTTTATTTGAATTAGGCAAGAACCGTATGAAGATTAAAATCCAACAAAACCAGGAGTCTTTTAATTTACCCTGAGTAAAACTCTAAAACAAAAACAAAATATTAACGAAGAAGCAGATGTAGCTAGGCCAAATACCAGTATCTTGCATCAACAAAAGCCATACTGCAAAAAGCAATCAAATACTGCAGAAGAAAAATGGTAGAAGAGGAGGCAAATGATACACTATTAAGACAAAATAATGATTACAACAATTTTCAACTACAAGTCAGAGGTACTATTGTCATTTTTTAAAACATTCAATGGAATCCTCTAGTAGAGTTGTTTACATTAAGACAAAATAATAATTATGAAGGGATTCGTTTTGATTCTTATGATCCCATATCAATTAAAAATAGACTTGGCCATGTGAAGTGGGATAGTTTTTAATAGCAATTTATTTGTTTCTCTTATTCCATTTATCACTCTCTCCCCCACCAATCAGTTAACCAATTTCGTACTTCTCTCTATTAACAAATTACAGCAAAACAAGAAGTTTTAGTTCACATTATAAGATTAAAAGAATCCCTATAAAGCCCCTTACAGAAGAATTAATCCAAAATAATTGATCTACAAAACATGGATACGTCTCTAGAGAGGAGCCATACTCGTATCTGTGTTGAATATTGATACTCATACTCCTCAGATGCTCGTTGATGAGTATATGATACGTCCTAAACGTATTCATAATTTAAAATTCATATTCAAAATTTTGAAGAAGTATTGGACACTCTAGGTCAGGCATTCAAGTTCCAACCTGTCTTCAAATTGAAATAGGTCATTTCTTGTATACCACCATTAGAGTATATATGTTACAAATATACAAGAATAGTTTCAAATATTTTGCATACTCCTCACAGAAGAAGAATTGGAAAGTAATGACATCAAAGCACGTCAAATTTGGTTAAATTTTGTGTGGACTAAATATAACCTTAATTTTTTGTGTGAATACAATTTTTTTATTAGTCTGAAATTACAATATTTGGTAGATAAATAAAGACAAATAGTTTGTTACAACTATGTTATGAAAAAAATTACATTTCAAATTATATCTATACTTACATAGTGTATGTATGTATGTATCCCTAGTATATCTGTATTATACTTTTAAAACTCTATCTTACTGTCGTATCAATATCATGTTGTACCCATATCTTGTATCTATATCTCAGCTTCAAAGTAATTTAATTGAAGTAATTGGTTTTTTGAGAAAATTGAAAAATTCACTTCATTTCAAAACAAATGAAATACCAAATGGGTGTTCTCCCTTTATACTAGTATAAATATAAACAAATGACCCACTAGCCACAGTTCCTAATGTTGGCAAATTCCTGGGATAAATTTTGGATGGTGCAGACAATCTTGAAACAGATACTGTAGTCAGGCTAATTGGTAACTGGAAGAAAATTTTAGTAGTTTTTCATAAAGTAAAGATGTTTTAACAACTTTATTCTCCTTTTCTCTCCAATTTATAACCCCAACAAGTAGTCACACTTGCATTACTAAAGACAACTCCAATATCATCATAAATATTTGATTACCACAGCTTCTCACGCAAATAGGTTTAACAGAATTCTCCAAAAGTTTTATTAAGGTCATTTAGGAGCAAAAAACCAAGATCAAACATGTATATCTAAAGCTTCTTGGCAATTACAAATACTGAAATTGTTACAATTCCAAAATTAACAAAAGTTGCATCATTGAGAACATGAAGATGAACCAAAGAAGGTATCCTGGATTTTTCCAGATTGACCAGTTCATCCACACATCAACAATTGTAATGCTCTACACTCAATGTGAACAAAGGCTATTTCCCAAAAAGAAACAATAGACAATCAATGCTTCTACTGTTGTGAGGGAAGTTCATTGGGAAACAATCAATCAACTCATATTCCTAACCAAACTACTCACAACAATGAAGATGCATCCATTTACTCTTAAAAATAAAAAAATAAAAACAATTAAGATCTCCTCTGGGGCACAACTCCCTTTCCACACAGGTAAGATAAAAAAAATTATAGCTCTAATTTGCTTTTGTTGGTGAAGCATCAAATCTTATACACCTGCAATTTCAATCAATAAATTGACCAAATTTCCATCAAAACCCATGATCATAATTCCACGCCAAAAATTGATCAAGCAGAACAAAAACCCAAATCAAATCAACACTCACAACTACATAATTTAACCAAAAGTAAATCTAAACATATCATGATAAAGCAGAACAAAAACCCACATCAAATCAACAACACTCACAACTACATAATTTAACCAAAAGTAATTCTAAAAATATCATGATAAAGCAGAACAAAAACTCACATCAAATCAACACTCATAAACTAAATAATTTAACCAAATATCTAACCATATCATAGAGAGAGAGAGAGAGAGAGAGATAAATATGTGTGTGTGTGTGTGTGTGTAAATTGATAAAGCAGAACAAAAACCCACATCAAATCAACACTAAAACTACATAATTTAACCCCAAAAATTTTTTAAAATAAAATAAAAACTGTATCTAAACATAACGATAACACAAAGAAGACAGAGAGAGAGAGAGAGATACATATACATAAATGTGTGTGGTTTGTTGTGGGTGATACTCACAGATACAACAAGGAGGGCACGGAGAGGAGTTCCACGACGAGCCCAGAGAAGGACATCGCGGCCGGTGTTCCGGGAAGCTTGGCGGAGGAGAGGAACGTTCTCGGAGAGAGAGGCTTTGATCCGGTGGATGACAGGACTCGACCCGTACGCGGAATCTGGATTCGGGAAGAAAATCTCAGCCCCCACACGCCGGAGTACGCCGTCGAGACTGACTCCGTCGTCGTGCCTTCCCTTCCCACTAACCTCCGCGAACTCACCGTTGGACTTCTCTCTCACTGCTTCTTCAGGTTCCCCCATTCTCTCTCTCTCTCTCTCTCTCTCTCGTGTGTGTGTGTGTGTGTGTGTGTGTGTGTGTTTGTTTGTTTGTTTTAGATTAGATGTAAAGGTTATCCTTTTAAAGGTTTTTTTTGGACAAAAAATATATTTTTTAAATTATTTTTTATATTTTTTAATGTTTGTTATAATAAAAGTAGAAGCTAATAGAAAATATTTTTTTATGGTGAATGAAAAATAAATCTATTTAGATAAAAAAAAAATATTTTTCTCTTTTAAAAGGTAAAAAATACTTTTCAATCTAATTTTTTACTATCACCACATCACCATTATCACAATCACTATCACAGTTATCATCACCATCACTGTCGTTGTCGCCTCACTACCTCCACCTCTACCTCTACCTCCATCTTCATTCTACTACCACTACCACCAAATATGAAAAAATATTTTCTCTAGAAGACATTTTCCAAAGAAAAAAAAAATTGTAAGAAAATATTTTTCGTCCAAACAAACGAACCGAGAGAATCATTTACCAATTTTTTTAACAGAAAAAAGGACGTTCCATGGGGAGGGATAACCGATTACTAACCAGATTTAACTCAATTCATAAGAAAAGACTCACCACTGGGCATACAAATAGACTTCACCCACTTATCACACAGGAAAACACAAAGTCAATTGAAGTACAACATAATAATCCGAAACAAATCGATACCACTCAAGAATCAACTGGGTGGAGGGAAGATGCGTAATCTAATGGACCACCACCCGTGGTCATTTACAAATTTGATACCAAGTTAATGTGTGACAATGGTTCGCTTTTGTGACATATCTCATCATACAATAATCAAAAGATTATCTTTATACAACTTAATATTATTGACTATAAATTTAAGAGCATCGTTATTCAAATTCAAAAATTAGATTTACTTATTAGTCAATTATCTTTCTTACGCATTGCTGAATTTAGAGCGTAAATTTTTATATTATTTTTCTAATTTAAAGAGTCATATTTTTTTAAAAAAATTAAGTGCTTTTATTTCATCAAAAGTACCAAAGCATTGGTAATACATTTAAGATTAGGGTAAATTACAAATACACCCATTGAAATTTGCTTAAAATACGAATTATTTCTTGTGATTTAGAAAATTATAAATACCTTCTTGTCAGAATTTTTTATTTAACAGAATTAATTGAAAAAGTGAAATTTTTAACTGTTTACCTATATAATAATAAAATTATTTGAATTATTAATTGAAATAAAATTTTAACATTATTAAAAACTGTTAATTGACTTGATGATTTATTAATAAAAGGACATATTTGTTATGAAATTAGAAACCTTAAGAGGGTATAATGTAATTTTTACAACCACAAGAGATAATTTGTAATTTAAGTAAATCTCAAGGGGTGTGTTTATAATTTATCCTTAAGATTAATAGTGCTAGGTTGATTATACTTAGATATTATTTGATGTGATATATTATAGGGAAAATTAGTCTAAGGTCCCTCCCCCATTTTTTGTAATGGAAGAAATCCACAATATTATTTTATGATGTCTAAGGTCCCTCAACTCCCATACTCATATATCACAGAAAAATTTGATTGAAATCAAACCTCATTTTTTTTTCTCTCTCTCTCTCTCTCTCACTCTAAACTCTCTCGGCGTGCCCAATTCATCAGATCATCCACCTACGAGATCACAAACTCTGGCACCTTCGACATCCTTGCTGGAGACGTCGCTGAAGGCGACGACGAAGGGCGTAGGGCGTGGGATGCAACGATTGAGCCACTAGCGACGACAAGGTTGTGTGGTTCGTCGCAGCCCTTTGTTATGTGATTTGAGGCGAGAGATTGAGATTCAGATTTTTCGATATGCCCCTAATGCCTTCAATGCTGTCACGACCCAAACCCGTCCCTATGGGTTTAGCACCGTAACCGGCCAGTAATCCAAGATTACCGAAGGCCTGCTTAACAGTAATACAGTAATACAGAGTACAGGGGCTGGCGGAAGCCAAAACAGTAAATAAACAATGTCTAATGAGCTGTGACAGTCTGCATACAAAAAGACTTTTCATTCAAATATATACAGTCAGACAAAACAGTATGTACATATATACAATCATTCAGTTCAGGGACCTAATCCCCATTAAACAGTACCTTAACAGTCTATACAGTCGTACAAAACAGATACAGAGACAGACGGGGAAATTAAAAACACCCCTAAGCCGTAGCTTGACAGGCTCGGAACCTCGCATTGAGGCACAGTCATTGGCTTGACAAAACTGGAGCTTACCCCGACGCTTCTAGCCACGGTCTGGTGCCTGTACACCTACATATATATATAAGCAGTGAGCTAAAGGCTAGTGAATAACACAATGCGTAAAGGGGTTGAGAATGAATGTCCTTATAGTAATGAAAACAGTTCATTAATTCAGTATATCAGTCATTCAGTCATATGTGGTACATCCATTAGCATAACAGTATAGTAAACAGTAGGTCTTAAAAGACCGAACAGTAAATGATGGCCATCAGTCAGTAACGGTAGTGGTTCCAACAAGGGAACCGACAGAAATCTCTGTGACAGTAACAGTAAACAGTAGTTGCTAAGGATGCCACAATACAGTTCAGAATATAGGACATACATTCATTCAATTAACAGTATCAGTTCAGAAAGCAGTACAGTTCAATTGTTCAGAAGATAATCATTTTGAACATATCTTTACACAGTTGTTACTCACAGAGTTCTGGGCTACAGTAAGGCTAGAGCGCGTCTCCAGTCGTCAACTTTACATAGTTTACAGATTGAACACATACTAAGCTACACAGTTGGGAAAGATAATAACTTAATCCCTAATTTGCCTCGGTGTGTTCTACATCTATGTCCTCAATAAGATGTCCTAAACTAGGCCTAAGAATGCCTAGAATGAGATGAGGATGCAAAGATGCACTTTAAAAGCATTTTTAGAAGTTTTAGAAAACAGGGGTCACGCTCGAGCGTAGATTACTCTGCTTGAGCGGACATGCAGACAAAGGTTTCCGCTCGAGCGTAGACTTACCCGCTCGAGCGTTCTGCAAAATAGTCAAAAGTGCTGGATAGGTGAAAATCACGCTCGATTAGGCGCTCGACACCCGCTCGAGCATGAGACACAATGTCCGGCTCGAGCGTCAATTCTTCCGCTCGAGCGGACCTCAAAACAGAACAAAATGCTGGGAGCACAATTTCTACGCTCGAGCGCCAGTCACCCAACTCGAGCGTGAATCCAAATTCTGGAAATTCCAAATTTGAACCTCAAGCTCAAAGCCAAGTTTTAAACCATAAATTTCGATCCTCTTGGGCCAATTTTCCAGAAAACATCCCAAAACTCATACTTTAACATGATTCAAAGCTCAATTTGTAAAATCAAAGCCCAAGGGTGTTTCAAACAACTCAATTCAAACCAATTTTCATGAATAAGAAGAACATGCAAACATGCATGAATTAAAACCATTTCAAAGCTTCAATGTCATGCTCTAATGAGCTAACTCTTACAAAAACAAGATGAAAACATGGACTTAACATAACTATGAGCATGCATGTGACAATTCTCCATGGAATCAACTCAAAATTTAACAATTCAAACATACATGCATGGAATGAGCTCCAATTCAACATTAATGAACCAATTCTTACCTTAGCTCTTTAAACTACCATAATCCATGCTAGAAGGGACTTAAATACACAATAAGAAGGATGAAATTCATACCTAGGTTCCTCAATTACAAGTCTAGAGGCTCAATTATGCACTTAAGCTTTCAATTCCTCAAGATTCAAGCCAAATTGTGAAGAACTCAAGCTATCACTACCTCTCACTCTCTCAAGTCGGCAAGAACAAGGAAAAAGGGCTGATGAAGTGTGCTATGTGGTCAAGTGTGTAAGGCTCAAATGGTTAGATGAAAGGCCACTTAAGTGGCAAAATTGTGAATAAGGCCAACTTACAATTTATCAATAATTAATCTAATTTAATCGTACCAAATCATATTTTAACTAAGCATGCTATAAAATCACATCAATTCTAAGGATCACAAATCATCAATCAATTTCTGGTTCGGCCGCTGATAAGGCCTTCAATTTGCAATTTAACCATAAAAACATGAACAGATAATCGGACAGTCAAACAGATAGATAGTGCATTTAAACAGATATACTTAATCAATTCAGTTCCAGATTTCAGTCAGTCAGTTCAGTACTTTAATCAATTCAGTTACCAATCATAATCAGTCTCAGTTTAGCAGTAATCGGTAGTTAATCAGTAATTCATCGGTAATTAGTGGTGAGGGTTGTTACAAATGCCATGTCCTTGATCTGCAGAACCTTGAAGCTTATTCCCCTAGTTCACTTGGTACGCATGAGTGTGTGCCTACAGGAGAGAGAGGGGGAGAATGAAACCTTGTTGATTATCAAAAAGTGAGAGAGAATATGTTGATGGCACCATTTTTTGGAGGAATTGTAAGCTCTTCCATCTCAATGATGCATCTAAACTGTTTAACAAAAGGCGATGCATCTAAACTGTTTAACAAAAGGCCTCATGCAGATACATTCTTATAGCTTTATTTTTAACCATCATCATCATCATCTCTCTCTTTCTCTCTCTCTCTCTCAGGTTTTTGTGAATTTCTCTGGGTTTGAGGGAATTTTTTCTGGGTTTTTGTGAATTTCTCTAGGGTGGAAAAGGAAATTTCTCTGGTTTTGAGAGAAATTCTCTGGTAAGTTTTTCTCTATTTCTCTTGTTCTTTTCAGTCTTTTGTGAGTTCATTTTTATTTTTTTATATTTATTTCTATAACTTGTTATCTTTCTACATCATATAGTGCTTGTTTTTTTAGATGGGATTTTATAAGAGAAGTCTCTTCAATATGCAAACTTACGGGAGTTATTGTTGCAATTTTTCATGATGTAAACATAAACAAGTATTGCAGATAGTGTCCATATGTTGACTATGTTCCCTCCAAATTGTGGAGCTGCAATGAAAAACCAATGCATTGCGAGATATTTTCTTAAGTCAG